GTGATGAAGGAGAGTGCGCGGATCGCCTACACCTTCGCCAGGGCCTTCCTAATGCAGCGAGACCCCACCAACAACTACCTGGTCACCTCACACATCCACCTGCATGTGCCCGAGGTCCGTGCCTCCCTACCTCCACCCCGCTACCCCCACCCGTGCCCTGCGGCCCCCTGCTCACTGCCCGCTCCTCCCCCAGGGTGCCACCCCCAAGGACGGCCCTAGTGCGGGCTGCACCATCGTCACGGCGCTGCTCTCCCTTGCCATGGGCCAGCCTGTGCGACAGAACCTGGCCATGACCGGCGAGGTCTCCCTGACCGGCAAGATCCTGCCCGTTGGGGGCATCAAAGAAAAGACCATTGCCGTGAGTCTGGGGCCCGGCAGGAACCCAGTTCAGCCCAAGGGCATGGGCCTCTCAGATGCCTGGAGACCTGACTGCCCCTCCACAGTGGGACTCTGGAGAATGTTCTAGAGCAGCAGTTCTCAACCTGTGCGTCACGACCTCTTTGGGGAGTCGAACGACCCTTCACAGGGGTCACTTGATTCAGAACTAGCAAAATTAGTTAGGAAGTAGCAACAAAAATAATTTCATGGTTGGAGAGGTCACATGAGAAACTGTATTCCAGGGTCGAGGCATTAGGAAGTTTGAGAACCACTGTTCTAGAGCCTTCTATCCATTGGGGAGTCCCTTTGATCACCTGGAAGGCGAGGCAGGGTCTTCCAGAAGGGTGGGACTGGTGGGGCAAGGACTGGCACTTGCTGACTCCACAGCCTCCCCCTACCCTCCAGCCACTGCCCCTCCTGACAGTGGCCTTTCCCTACAACTGGATGCTGACCCAGGGTAGTGCACCCAACCCTACCTGCCTGCCCCTCCCTCCCCGGTGGTAGTGACAGCTCAGAGGGCAAGTGCTGGGCTGTGGGTGGGGAGTTGGCTCTGGAAGGCCACTGAGGCATCGTAGCGAGAGGGCTGGCCTGGTGCAGGAGCTGACTAGCTGAGGCCTCCAATTCCACCTGACAGCCCTGGCGATCTGAAGATTCCACTGGTGTCAGTCTGGATGTGTTTCCAAGTTGGGGGAGAGGGGAGGGCTATCTTTCCTCTGAAGGCTGTGTGTGGCTGCCGGGCTCCCAGGACCTGTCCCACAGCTGTGTGCCCCCTCTGCAGGCCAGGCGGGCTGGTGTGACGTGCATGGTGCTGCCAGCCGAAAACAGGAAGGACTTCCACGACCTGGCACCCTTCATCCGAGAGGGCCTGGAGGTGCACTTTGTAGAGCACTACTGCGAGGTCTTTGACATCGCCTTCCTGGGCGAGGGGGCACAGGCCCTGGCTGTGGAGCGGTGACTGCTGCCTGGACACCTCGGCCAGGACAGACGCGGGGCTCCCCTAACTATGGCTTAATCATGGAGTAGGGTACAGGAACTATTTAATTATGATTAAAATCCATTTTCAGTACTGCCTGCCTGCCTGCCTCTGTCCCCCGCACCTCTCCCCTGACAAAGACTACCACGGTGACAGCACACCAAACCACACAACCAGTTTCTGGAAAGGCTTTATTATTGGGGTGGGGGGGTGACGATGACATGGCACTCAGTCCTTCTTGGCAGCGGCCTTCCTCATGGCTGCAAGCACGTTGCTTAGCTCCTCTCTCTTCCTCTTAGCCCGGATGTGTGTGCCCACCTGGGAACACAGTGGGTTGGTGAGCTCAGCTTCCCACCCCCCACAGTGGGCCCGGTTGGCACCCCAGTCCCTGAGGGACAGCCACCTACCCGCTTCTTGATGAACTTAAGTGCCCGCTTGTCCTTGGAGACCTTGAGCAGCTCCATGGCCCTTCGCTCGTAGGGTGCAAAGCCACACACCTCCCGGATCATGTCCCGCACGAACTTGGTGTGCTTGGTGAGGCGC